GTCTTGCGTCAACAGGTTAGTGTTACAGCTGAAAGAATCAATTAAAAGTGATTCATAGTTTAATATCAAAAATATTTACCTTCTTCTTCTTCCGGTTCATCATCTTCACCATCATCGTCATCTTCTTCTTCCTCTCCATCGCATAAGAAATCATCTTCATCACTATCATCCTGTATTAAACAATATTCATAAGTATATTAATCGTACATTAAACATTAAATTATAGTTTACATACACATATACAGGTAAACAAAAATTCGTGGTACAAGAAAGAAGTTAGACGGATTGCACAAGTTCAAAAGAAGACGAAAGTCAAATACACACAGGGTGTTCCAGAACTGTTGTAGTCCCTTGAAATGAGTAATTCCCGTGGTGATTTGGAGCAACTTTTTCCTTAACGAAAATGGTATCTGTGACTTTGTAAACGAGTTATTAACGAAAAATACGGATCAATCGCAATGCGTTCCGCATTCAAGGCTACTATCGTATCAAGCTTGCTATTGTGCCACTATTCGCCTGCTGTACTCATTGTTTGATTATTTAATAAACAATCTATATGTTTTGCCGGCAAAGTTTATCGTCGCAGTATCCTGCAGCGATGAAGAAACTAGAGAAAAATTATAATAATAAACTTGTCGTCAAATTGAATACAACTTACATCGTGTTCGGACACATTTTAATCAAAAGAATTTTAGCTATTCATTGATGCTACAATTATAAAAGTAAGATAAAAATGACTAAGAATCAAATCTTCTTTCTTGCGCGTATGCTTTGTTCTGTCGCGGTATGATATTGATGTACGTTTGTCTGGTTTTTACTGCAGATATTCTCTATCCCTGCCTCCTAAGATAAGAACCCGCCAAACTCAAAATACTGTGACGGGAAATGTGGGTGGGGCTGATTCATGTAAAGTGGTATAGCTCGTTAAGGAGCTCAAAACTGTCCTTCAGTTAATATAAACGACCATAAGATGGAACATAAATAGAAAGCGTTTTGTGTAGAATTTTAACCCTCTATTGCGACCAGAAGGTAATTATAAAGTACCATCGATTTAACATTCTTTAATCGAATTTCCTTATTTAAATGTATGCATAAATTTTGAAGAAATACATATAATATGTCGTGACTGTTGACGTGCACTTTTGAAAGATTTTCCGATTTGTAAGTAGGTAATCCTACTTGCAAAATGCATGCCTACCATAATTTTGTAGTAACAACATATTAATAGTAATTTTGTAGTAACCACACTATTTTGAAATTATTCTTTATATTTATAATTCCATAAAGTTATTATGTAATGTTAAACGGTCTACGTTGGTAAACGATATATGTGTCTAAAGAAGAAAATTGCGCATCACAGTCACTAAAAAAATGTTTCGAATGAAAGTTAATCATATTTAGTCGGCTACATATTAAAATATAACGAATTTCAAAAACTTGCTTTTCGACTAGAAGTCAAGGTCACCTTGGTCTTTTTAAATGGCACCCTGTATTTTAGGATGAAGAAATGAATTCAACGACCTACTATACTATGACCTTCTAATGACAGTCTTCTGATCAACAATTTAGGGTTGTACAACAAAAGCGTTAATATCGAAAGCTATTTTATTCCAATCAATTTACGCTCGTTAACTCCGCTGCCTTGCGCCAGCCATGCTCACTGCTTATTGGTCAATGTAATTACACTAAGAATGCAATTACACTAAGGAAAAAGTTACTCAGGAACCCCGCATTTTCCGGAGGTACCATGATTTTAGAACACCCTATATTCAGTGACCTTCTAGAACAAGGCTCGGGATTAAGGTAGGTATGCAATTTAACTATAATGGCGACGCGACACAGAGCTACAGATGGTTTGAAATGTGCTGTAGAGTGGTAGAGGGATCCAGGATGAGGTGCTGACACTGCCATTAGAAATTATTATTGGAATTCATTTGCATTATAAAATCCCATTTGTGAGATGTCCCTTCTACCACTTTGCAGTACATTCCAGACCAGTCTCTGAAAATGCTCTGTCTCTGTCGCGGGCGAGTTACTTCGGTGCTCTGCAAGAATATTCAGACATCTCTATAAACATAGTTATTTTTTAAAAATTAAGGCTTGATTTGAATTATTTTAAAATGAATGTTAAGAAGATGAGAGATTTTACTACACAGCGTCTAAAGAAATTTTTGCAAAAATTGCAATTGGTTGGAATGATCAAAAAGAAAGAAGTTTACAACTTTTTTTTATCCAGGGCCTGAACAAAAATTTGAATGAATTTGGTTTACAGATTGAAAAATGTAAAAATCTTTACTGATATCTTACAGTTATATACCCAAAGTCATGAAAGACTGTGATTTCCACAATTTTTAAGTGTTAATCATGCAGTGCTGTAATAAATTATTGTTGCGATTTACTTTCCCGCAGAGTCATGATTTATATATATGTATATGTATACGCTTTAATTCATAACCAATTGCCATTTTCAAAAATAGAATTTTATAGGCGTATCACGCAGCGGGATTGTCTCAAGATGCCGAAAAATTAGTGTGACTGTTTCAATGAAATATAATTTATATATTTTATTGCTAATAAAAATCTATTTTTAATTCACAGAATAATGTGTTCTTCGAAGAAAACGTATTTTCTTTACTGTTACATTATCATTAATCCAACATTCTCAAATTTTGTCTTAGTCTAAGGGTAGTTTGTTGTTTTAAGATTATGGTTAAGGGTGTACCTTAGGATGGATCTAAGCCAGGCATGAGCGAGTCGCGGGTCGCGGACCAAATCTGGCCAGTGGTTCGTCCCTCACATACTCACAGGACACGAGAAACGATATGACATTGTTTCTTGTTTCTTGCTCCACATGGGGCTGTAATAGTGAAGCTTGTGGCCCACGACTAAAATAACTCGTCCATGCCTGACCTAAGGTATACTTGGTTAAATATTTTTATCGAGATCTGATGCACGCCACCCTTCAGAATTATTCCTTTGCTCAGGACAAAAATTCTTGCCAAATTTGAGATCGATTGAATAAACAAATATATGACTTCCTTAAAATAAAAATAACGATGACCTTGAAATTTCAAAAAATATGATTTCCGAAAATTTTTTTATTATGCCATTATATTTGCCTTATTGAATAGTGCAATTTTCTCCTCTGGCGTTTTCTTGTAGAATTGCAAACAACGAAAATATTTAAACATTTCTGTTTCTTACATTTTATTTATTCCTGTACTGGAACAAGACTTTAAGAAGCCCAAACTCATGGTTACAGCAGCCTCAGGTATACAAATACAAATACCCTGAGGATTGTACTATGACCCTCATAAACCGTTAGAGCCTTACCCATTATGTGTTTCCTAGACACATTAATATAACGGTTTTCAAACTTGTGTTATTAAAAATATAAAATAGTACCTTGAAAGTGCTGTAACCAGTATCTGTACTGCTAGTACACTCTGAACCTTGATCGAAAAAACATCAAATGAGAATCGGAAGTCGCAATGCAGACTAACAGTTTTTTAACTTTGTATATTCTCGGTCATAATGAGAATCAAGAGACTGTGACTAAATTGCCTTTGAAAGGGCAAGTGTTGAGATTTTTGCTTTACAATCTGAAGAAAAGGATGTTAGACCTTGAAGTTAGTGCACACCTTGTTGTGGAAGAAGTGGAAGTTTTATGGAAGAAAGCTGGGATTCCAGTCCAGGAAAGCAGTCACAGCATCAATAAATTGAAAATCTTATACCAGGAATGGGAAATGATACGGAAGTATTGTAAACGAAAGAAACCGGAACAACAGTTTCTTAGTGATTTAAATGATCTCTTCGACATAGCGCATGATGACGCTTTACGAATTATCTCTCGCCAAGATAGAAAATTTCTTATGAACCAAAGGAGACACTCCCAGTTGACGAAGAAAGAACAATCGATGATTGGGGGATATCGAAGAATTTTCGAATATGAATTACGAATGGCCAAAAATGAATCACGCGTAACTAGAAGGCGAGCTGCTATACAAAGTACGTTTTTTCCAGAAATAAGATATTTTTAAATAAAATTCTCAGAATTTCTTTCTTTTAACACATATTCTTCAATTTTTTCGAATAAGAAGAAACAATAGCCGTTCCATCACCTGACGAGGTCGAAAAAGATCAACAAATTATTGAGAATCCTGTGCTGGAGTCCACTGCCAGCAACTATAATGCAACAGTATCTGACCTGAGTGACCCGAGTGAAACCCATGCGAAAACGTAATTTAGAACAGGTATTTACTTCTAGTCAGTTTACCTTTACTTTTTCTTTAGAAAAAATAGTAAGGTTAACAATCATTTCAACTTGCAGAAGGCGTGAGCAGCTCTACTTGAAATTTCGACAATCGTGTCTTCTACTAGAAGAGCTCAAGCTTTTGCTGATCTACTCTAATGGGATATATGCGACTACACGTTCACATGACACAAGCGGATACGATGTCGCAAGGAGCACGCACAATTTTAAAGCATGAAATCCGGCTGGATTCCTGTTATATCTTCCTTGCAAAAGTCATGTGTACGAAATAGTTTTAAGAGCTATTTTCGATAAATTAAATATTAATAAATTAAATTAAATTTAACTAAATGATGCTTTCACTTCTTTCACCCATTATGCTTTGAGTAGAAGATCCATTTATCGTAAAGAAAATATAAAATGTACCAGTACTAACAAATTTTGCAAAACAGACTTTGTAAATGCGACAACCACGAGAAGATTATCGCGAATTTGTTGAACTTGTGCTAGTATTTTTAGATAGTACCCTTCCACAACATTTTTCTCGAGCTCCTGGAACTTGCCATCATGCTCGGTGGATAGCGAAAAAAAGGCATTTATTATCTAAAAACATTTTTATTGCGAGACGAATTCGAGTTAAGTGAACATGGAGAGGGGCTCCTTTCCCAATGAGAGCTCCGTACCAAGAGTTTACTTTTATTCAATTTTTTTATATTACTGGATAATGAAATTTAAATACATCGAAGCAAGCAATCTTTTAATCTAGAAAATTCGATTTTAAAAAAAGAAGAAATTGTGATGTGCACATTGCGATATATATCTAAATATTCATGTATGTTTTAACATCTTCGGTTGGCGGAGTGGGTAAGGTGGTCGATTACGGAAACACACTATTTTTAAAATCATGTGATATGAAATTAGAAAAATGAAGTGTGATGTAGGAAAAAAACTCTTTCTGCAACAGGACTCGAACACCAGAATAGTGTTGTTTCCGTAGTCGACTACCTTATAAACATACATGAATATTTAGGTATATGTATATCGCAATGTGCACATCACAATTTCTTCTTTCTCTAAAACCGCATTTTCTTAAAAAAATTGCTTGTTTCCATGTAATAACGTTTAAAATTACTTAATCTACACTTGCGGTAAACCGAACAAGTAGTAACTTCCTTCCTCACAGCAAAAACGTTGGCAAAATTCGGTTTTCATTTTTTCTAACAATGACCCAACCGGTTAAAAATCTGAGAAAAATTGAGCTCACTATTTGTGATAGTACCTTATCAGGGAATTAATATAAAAAAGCCCCTATTTTTGTTTTCGAGAAATCTTCAATTTTCCGATTTTTTTTGGTTTTCCACTTTTGATAACTACAGATTGCATCCGAAAAATTTGAAAAAATCTATAATATGCGACTTGATGTCCAACATAAGCCACATTTTTTTCAAAATTTTAGAAAGGGGGAAAATGGGCGGAAAATCGAACGGTATAATACTTATTAAAAATCTCTAACGGCAATTTTGACCATCTTAATCGATTAGGCTCTGTAAGTCCACTCTAGTGTACCTAGAACATGTTATGCCGTCCGATCACACTTTATACATAGAAAATCACAAATTTTAATAAAATTAGGTAGGCTTGTAAAACTCAATGCTCAGATTACTTAGCCAGTTTATAATTGATGACATGGTAAGTTTAATGCCAACTTTTCGTTAAAAAATTTTAAATCGAACAAAATTTTATGCAAAAAACTTACAAGTTTAATTTCAAAAGTACTACTTCTAATTACTTTTAAATTGTTTTAGGAAAGTGAGATTAGGTGTTCATGTTATAGGTATAGATGGAGATGAAAATATCTAAAATAAACGACTTCTTTAACAAAATTTTATATTTATATTTCCCCTCTTTGAAAATATAAGAGAGATAATTTGAGATTTGAGGTTATGTAGGCCTATTCCGTTGTAAGCAGCATACTAACTAATGCATCTCTTAGTGTGCACAGTAATTAACGCATCGATCGAAAAATAGATTCAGTTACTGTATATAGTAAATAAACTACTGAAATTGAAATTAAAGTAAAAAATTCGAACAAGAGAATGAATCATTCTTATTACATTAAATGAATCGCTATTAAAGTTTTTGGCCCTTTTGTTAAAAAAAAAGAAAAAGGACATTGCGCGCCACTCAATTACTTGATGCGAAACGTTGCCGCGTCTCCTGATAAAAGCAAATGTTAGGATTAGATAGTGCCACACCAAGCTATACATATATTGTGAGAAGAAACAAAGAGTGAAAAAATAAAAATAAAAGTACACAAAGAGAAAGCGAGATACTCCTATAAGACGCTAGTGGAAGAATGCTTAAGGAAAATGGAAAGATAGAAAATAGAGCTAGGACGAATAAAGGACAAAGATGAAGAGGGTAGAAAACACCTAGGGAAGAAATGGAAAGAGAAGGAAATTATAATGCATGTATATATATGGAGAATATATATATATGGTGTATATATATGGTGTTTTTTAACAAAACACCAAATGGTCTAAAGGAGATGACGTGAGTAAGGAGAGAGAGAATAATAAGAAAATGTAGAGAGAATGCCCAAATACATAAAATATATAATATATAAATAAATATATGTATATATATATTACATACAGGGTGAATTACGTAATTGAGATGGGTTATATCTTGAATTGGCAACAAATAGAAACAAACTATGCAAGAAAAAGTTCATTGGTATGGCAGTGTCTATTTTTCTGCGACTTTATTCCTTTCACAAGCGCAGCAATGCAAAATGCAGAGGCATATGAAAATGTACATAAACATATGTGACTTAAAACAATTATTTTCTATTATATTTGATCATGTGAAAGGCTCTATCAGAATATAAATAAAAAAAACTATATTATCCCATTTAAAAAAGCAAGTTTGATCTTTATATTTCCTCTATATCTCCTACAAAAAAACTATTGACATCATATGTATCCCACAAAATCAAAAAACTTCAGCCTGCTCCTTTTTTTCTATTACTATAAGCAAGCAACTTATCTAGATCATCTGAATTATCACTGAATTTATTTAATAAACAACTTTTTTGATACCTCAAATTCAATATGAAAAGATTATTTAACTAACTTCTTCACAAGAGAACCACAAAAAATTCACAAATATGAGTATTTATTACTGTCATTCCTTTCTTCTTAACACTGTGACTATCACGACAATAACCTCAAAATTTTCATAAAATTAAGATATTTTATTTAATTAAATTTTTTAAATTGGAAAAGTTAAGTTCTATGATATCAATTACTTTCAACAATCTTACATATTGTGGATCCTTAACCCTTTGGAGGCTATTGGGACATATATATCCCAGCTATGTATTTCATACGCCTATTGGGAGAACTGAATTCCATTTTTCAATAATACACAAATATACCAGTCTTAGAATGCATATCACGCACATATTTGTTTATATATAACCAATGGGACACATGTCCCAGTCCTTAGCATCTAAAAGAGATAACCTACACTAATAAAATCAACATTTCTTGTTATTAGCATCTACATGTACATAAAACTAGATTTCGGATATAACGTAAATTAACGAAAAATAAATCAGACTCCAAAGGGTTAAGAGATTACCTATAAACCATATATAGATGATGTACAATCGAAAGTGTCAAACAATCCTCGTTAAACAAAGACATGAAAACATCGGTAATAAATAAATAGTACTACGTATCAAGATATTTGACCGATAAAATATTTTAGAAATCCACCTCATCGAGTGTACAAACTTATTTTTAATATGGACAATTCCTGATCTTAGATCCGTAAATATAGAGAGAAAACAGAGACTTATTTTTATATTGTTTTGGCACCAAATCAATCTTTTCTGTGATCACTTAGATGAAAGTAGGTATATTATAATAAACTCTTATCTGATGTAGTTTATTTTTGTAATATCCTGTGTGTGTTACCGAAATACTTTATTATCTAAACATTTCATTCAAGTTCTCCACTCGGTGATAATGTATCTAAATAATACAATGATTAGATAATAGAATATTTGAANAATATGAGTATTTATTACTGTCATTCCTTTCTTCTTAACACTGTGACTATCACGACAATAACCTCAAAATTTTCATAAAATTAAGATATTTTATTTAATTAAATTTTTTAAATTGGAAAAGTTAAGTTCTATGATATCAATTACTTTCAACAATCTTACATATTGTGGATCCTTAACCCTTTGGAGGCTATTGGGACATATATATCCCAGCTATGTATTTCATACGCCTATTGGGAGAACTGAATTCCATTTTTCAATAATACACAAATATACCAGTCTTAGAATGCATATCACGCACATATTTGTTTATATATAACCAATGGGACACATGTCCCAGTCCTTAGCATCTAAAAGAGATAACCTACACTAATAAAATCAACATTTCTTGTTATTAGCATCTACATGTACATAAAACTAGATTTCGGATATAACGTAAATTAACGAAAAATAAATCAGACTCCAAAGGGTTAAGAGATTACCTATAAACCATATATAGATGATGTACAATCGAAAGTGTCAAACAATCCTCGTTAAACAAAGACATGAAAACATCGGTAATAAATAAATAGTACTACGTATCAAGATATTTGACCGATAAAATATTTTAGAAATCCACCTCATCGAGTGTACAAACTTATTTTTAATATGGACAATTCCTGATCTTAGATCCGTAAATATAGAGAGAAAACAGAGACTTATTTTTATATTGTTTTGGCACCAAATCAATCTTTTCTGTGATCACTTAGATGAAAGTAGGTATATTATAATAAACTCTTATCTGATGTAGTTTATTTTTGTAATATCCTGTGTGTGTTACCGAAATACTTTATTATCTAAACATTTCATTCAAGTTCTCCACTCGGTGATAATGTATCTAAATAATACAATGATTAGATAATAGAATATTTGAATACTAGAATATCGTAAAAATAAATAAGATATAAGAAGAGTCTCTACTATTCGGATTGAGTTTTCGAAATGGCGCGACACGCTTCACGCGGTCATTGGAAACAATATAAACTTGTAATATTAACAAATTTAAATGGTATATCATAAGACTTACGCGAAAAAATAGATACTGCAGATTAAAATTTTGAACTGGTCGATTCTGCCCTAAGAAACCATTTTTAAATTGAAAATTACAGATATTGTTTATAACGATTTACAAATAATATGTTGTTAGATGTAGTATTTTTTAAATTAAAATTTCAAGGTTTTACGCATAAAACTGCGTTTGTGCCATGTTAATATCTTTGTAACTTTGATCGAGTTACAATGTCTTGAAAAATAGTTGACACTAACTTTTTGATACTTATAATACAGAAATATGAAACAATATTTTTTTCATATGTACAAAGTACGACTACTTGGCGGGCCAAGTATGATCCATATTACTCTAAAAAAAAGAAAAGAAAGTGTTTTACTTACCTCAATACCCTCTTTGTATACAGCTGCTAAATCTACACCAGCTTCATCATAATCTTCATCGTCTTCTTCATCTGAAACTGTTCATTTACAATTGCAAATTGTAAGTCACATTGATTTAGATTATGTAAGTGCAAAGAATACCATATAATCTGAGCTTATATATCTAAATATCTTCTTTAATCTTAATGGCATAGGAAGATGTTTACGATATAACAAAATAAGTTAATAGTATGAAGGATAGAATGTGACAACAATTTTCAAAATGATATTTTCTTTGAAATTATCAAGATCCTTGATATCTGATGCAAAATGACCCCTAGAGACAAATATAAAAGATATACATTCGTCTCACAGACAATATGGTATGAAAAAAAATATAATCACAGATTGTGATAGTTTTTCAATATATACAATTTTTCTCAAAAGTTGGTCCCATTCTATTATGTCCCAAGTCATATCAAGATTATAACTCAATTATGTTTGAATGTTTTGCAATACCCTCTATGCGATACAATAGCGTTAAATGTACCATAGTTGATTTAATAAAATATATTGGTCACCTTAAAAGTGTTGCAGATATAATATGGAACAAAACAAGTTATTTATGTCTTTCCTTCAACACTATTCGAATCATATCAGAAACATTTGTTATAAAAGAGATATTTAGGTATTAGGACGTCGTGTATAATATTTGTATCAATTAACCTTCCTCACTGTCTTCTTCATTGGCATCTCCATCACCATCTTCATTTCCATTTACTTCGTCATCCTCTTCTTCAGTGTCATCTGCTTCACGATCATGTATGTCAAATCTGTTATAAGTGAAGCAATAGATTATTTCAATAATGTATTGTTTAATTTTTTATTATTTTTATCCAAATTATAACAATATATTCATACCCATCAAGATATTGAAGACTAGGAATAAGACTAAAAACTTTCTCTCTATAATTATCCAAGTTTGTCATTTCATTATTAAAGAGATCAAGATTCTTCAAATTCTTAAATTCTTTCTGTAAACAAATCAAGCAATTACTAATAGACAGGATAAAATGATTGAAAATAAATTATAAACATTAGAACTTACTAAAGGTTGAAGTGTATCAAGATCTTTGATCTTGTTACCACTAAGATTAAGGTGGGTTAATTTTGGACTTGATTGAAGAAGATTTAAACCACCAGAAATTCTGTTGTCACTGAGTTCCAACTACATGAAATAGGGATATATTTTACTTACATACGTTTATTTTAATTATTTTGCAATATCAATCTCAATATTTCTGTCAATAGAATATATTGATGTCTTTACATACCTTTCTGAGGCTTGACAATTTGGGAAAGCCCTTTAAACTGGTAAGACCCACATTGATAAGACTTAAAGATTCTAATGCAGCAAATTCATCTGTTAAACCTACAATATATGTACTTCGACAATTGTCAAGGACGAGTTCTTTGATCTGAAAAAAGAAAGCAATTCAAACATTAAATTACAATTAGTTATAAATATGAAATAAGTGAAGTTCTTAATATTTTATTTTATTTTCTCACATTTCAGTTCAATTATGAAAACACATATGGATGTACTATATAGTGGTATACCTATTTTCAATTTCATATCCTCTAAAACTAAATATAACAGAACATTGTCGTTTCAGATATTTTTCTAATAGACCTTCATCAGTATTTTT